TCAGCAGAAGTTCTTAATTTTACTCATCTGACATTTCTGTTTTTTTTTTTTTTTTTTTTTTTTTTTTTTTTTTTTTTTTTTCAGCTGCTATTTTGCTATTTTGAGTATGAATTATCATTTTGGAGGAATATTTTTGAGATGCATTGACAAGTATGTGTTTGATGAGTTAATGTTTGAATTATTTGGTGGATGCTTGAGTTTTAGGCATAAAGATTAAAACATAAACACTTCGTTTGAAATGTTAACATTTCAAATAATTTCTTTTTAATGAATAAGCAGTTCATAAAATTTTGCATCAAAAACACATTTTCCCTTTTTGGGATGAGTTCTTTTATTATGTGACATGGTGCTAAATTTTTCAACTTGTCAACATTTTGGCAATCTCAATTTCAATTTGTATAGATAATTTTTTATTCAAAGGTTTGTGAATTTTTTGATGATTTTGTTTACAAACATAATAGCGTTGATAAATATCATAAAAGTAATGATTTTAACAAATATTCTCTCATTCATATAAAGCTAATTAAAATTTTAAATTATGAAAAATCAATTGTATACAAATAAAAGATTAATTATTGCTGCGAACTAATTTGCAATATCATTCAAAATCAGAAAACATATGTAAATTAAGTGTGAGTATCTAAAAACATGAAAAAATTTTAATAATAATAAAAAAAAAATGAATCGTAAAAAATTTGTTTAAAGAATTTTCTAAGACTAAATTAATTTGCATAAAGTGAATAATTGTTGAGCAGGCAGGAGACAGATCTTCTCAAGGGGAAGTTGCCCTCAAACCTAACTCTTCAGTTACTCAATTCATGTTTCGTCATCCATATAAGCATGGGTAAAGAATTATTCAAAACCAAAAGTAAAACCAAAAGTAGTGAATTGCTTTATTTAACTTTACTATTAGTTTCTTATAAAAGTAATGATAATATATATGAAAATTATATTTAAGAAGTAACATTAAAATAAAACATTTTTATTTTCTCCTGGGATCTTTTAAAAAGACATTATTTCCATTTTGGTGACTTGGGAATATTTTGATTCTGAAAATAAATGAGATAATAAATGCTAATGAAACAGAATTTCTGAAACACTTCTTAGAAAAAAGAAAAATGCTATTGTAATTATTTAAATAATTAACATAAACCTCTGGATTGCGTGAGAACATATAAAATGGGCCATATAAGAAAGAATCAATATAAAGCTTTCTCTAGTAAAATTTAAATAAAAAGTCAGTAATCTTCTTTAAAATATGTGGGACTATTATAAGTGTAAAATATAAATATTTCAATAAATTTTGTAATTTAATGCTGATTAAAAATATGTTTTATAATTAGTTAGTATTTTATAATTAGTTGAATTTGTTTTATAGTTAAATAGTAGATTATATTTATTAATAATGCATCCTACTTATAGATTTATTTTGTTCTTAAAAATTACAAAAGTAAGTTCTGGTATAGATAATTGCTTTAGTTTGTTCAGTTCCTGTTTGCTTGATAGGCCCTTAATATTTTTCATTGACAGTTCTTAAAACTCCTTACAGTACTTAATTTCCATGTATAGAAATGTGTACGAACCCTATGAATTTTGCCATCCTCAAACTCTTATCAGATTAGATTATTTTAAACAGTATTATTATATTATAAAATTATTATATTATCCACGTGTAGTCACTTTTCACATGAATTATGTTTATTTTAGTAGCTCAGAATGGATATTGGTCTTAAAACGACATTTTGCTTCGATTCACTATAAATGACTGTATCACTTTTCAGATTGTCGGCAACAAATAATTTCGCCCTGTATTATATATGAAGAGATTAAATAATGAAGAATCTCCGTGAATGTATGTATGTTTCTCGCATTGTGGAAAAACAACACCTAGAGCCATCAATTTTTGAATAGCATAGTCCTCCACCAAAACATGGGCACATAGAAGCCCAAATCTTGAATTTCGAATTTGTTTTATTATCTATTTTACATTTTTAAAATTTTCCTGATTTTTGTTAGAAACTTAATGGATTTCGGAGTATTTTTTTTTTTTACACTGTCTCGGAGCCTGTCTATCCGTCAAAATTCCTTTTTAAATATTTTTTTATTATGTTTTTTTAACCCCTTGTTTCATAAAATTTTATTTGTGTCCCTTTATTCAAATCTCCTTTGGAGCGTCTATCATTTGAAGATTTAAGCCCCTCCTTTATTCCAAAAGGAATTGTCTGTATGGACAGGTTATTATAGATCCCCAATATTTTATGATTTTTATTCTTAAAGATAATCTGATACCTAAATGTAAGGAATCAAGGAATCCGTTTTAATGCTTTTCTGGTTCTTCGGTTACTTTTCATATGCCCTGCCTTTTCTGAGACCTTCAGTAAAATTCTAGCAATATTATCTTTTTGGTGGTTTTCGAAATTCTCAAATAGGTGTTGGTTCTTCTTTATTATTTAATATCTTGAACAGTACCATTAGGAAGGGTATTCATATGTCCCCGGTCTAAAAATAAAAATAACTCGAATTTGTTGAAAAAAGGAGTTTTAGTTTTTACAGTCCCTGTTGAGCAATGTCTTGTGTAAAAATGATAATGAATTATCTTCTGAGCGTTGAAAACATATTTGGCCGTTCTATGAATTTCTTTGTTTTCTAGAAATCAAAATATGATGCTTCTAATTATGTAAGAAATTTTTAGATTTTATTGATGAAGCAAAGGAATATATAAAGCAAGAGTAGTGAGTTAGAAAGAAAAAATTTCAGAGGATTAAGATGAAGCAAAGAAGCTTTCAGAAAACCTATTTCATTAATCTGCTGATATCAAAAATATATTTCTTTGCCAGAAGGTGCTAATAGCACGTTATCACCATATACAGTAAATGCACAAGTACCTAATGTTCCTTTATAACTTGTATGTTACATATATCTTTAAAATACTTTTTATACTCATCACGTTATGGTTTCAAAGTTCTAAGAGGAAAATTTTATACTGTAATCTGAGAAATGAATTTGAAGTTAATATTACATGCCCATGCTTACAGGTTTTTGGCTCATTAATAAGTTTCTGTATACTTTTCTCCCTTTTGTTTACTTGTACTTCGGTAACAGTTTTGGAGGACCTCCATGCATTAGATTCAGCCTCATTTAATATATTTTTGAATGTATGGTTACTCATTAGTTCCTGATTTGAAGACCAAATAATGATGCCCTCTTTAACATTTGGGAATTTTGCTTTTAAAAACTGAAAATAAACTGCCATTTTATCCAAAAAAATTTTTCAAATCTCTTTAATTTCAAATCTCTTTTTTAGAGGTGCTGAATGCATTTTCAGAAAGCACACTGAAGACATGTATGTGTGTATGAAAATATGTATGTATGTATGTGTATTATGCATGAAGAAGTGCATTTTTAAGCTCTAAATTTAAGACTTTGCTATTTGGCCAGAATATTTTAATGTGATATTACTTTTTTGTGTTCACACAAAAGACATTTGTATTTTATATATCCAAATCATAGTGTATAGAATAGATCTATTAAGTTCTGGTGAAATTTTGGATCTTTTCAGGAGATATTATTGAATTTCAATGCTAGTATCTCAGCATGAACCTTTTTGATTAAAGTTTATAAACAAGATTATTTAAGCCTGGTTGACTTAATACTTTGTATGTTACAGTTGTTGATCAGTATAAATTATGAAACTTAGAAAGTGGTTAAAAAGAAAAACTAACTCTGAGACAGAAGAAAAGTACAGTGAATATGAGTTTTCAGCATAATACCTAAACTGCCCATTTTTTCCTGTGAGCTGCAATTTAACCCTTTTGTCCCTGAATCTGATTCACTTAGTTTTTCAGCTTTTTGTTGTTTTTGCATCAATGTGCAAACCATTTTAGAGCAAAAATAAAAATCTTAATTACAAAGTTAATGGTACACATATGCACTGGTAATAATATCGGTTGGTACATATATATACCAGATAAACAAAAAAGATAAATATTTTTTAAACTCTAAGTAGTTCATAAATACCTGATATTCTATTTCTTTTCTAAACATTTAAATATCACAGAATAAAATTATGTATAAAATCAAGTTTATTCTTGCACAAATTTAATATAAAATGTATAATATAACACAGGTGCTCACTAACAAACATAACATTACATTTAGTGAAATCCGCATGGTACATTAGGGGGATGTCATGGTACTTAAAATACTATTGTGGTACACTTTTCATTTAGTTATAATGTTAAATATGTCCTGCAGGTAGTTTTAAATATCAGTAGTACACATGCGTACTGTTCAGGACAAAAGGGTTAAACAGCTCTGCTAATTATAAAATTCTGCAATTTTCAATGTTTGGCAGTTTAAATCATGGAAGAAAAATTTAATGAGATTTCTTTTATTAATATATATAATATTGGGGGAGGGAATTCCTCGAGAAATAATAATAGCCATTTTGAAGAAATTTTGAAACCTTTGAACTCTGCAAAATTCTTGCTAAGTGCTTATGTATTTAAAAAATTAATTGTATGATGAAAATTATATAAAAATATACTGAGAGATTACTGAAATATTATAGCAAACATAATTAATTATGGAAATGTATGTTTGAAAATCAATATATAAAAGTCAGTGAAAAAACATTTCTAGAAAAATGCATGCATACTAAAAAATAAGCTCAGAGTATAGAATGTTGTACTTGTTAGAATTAGTATCCTTTTAAAAAATTGTGTATTTAAAAAATGCCATTATAAAATTTTTAATCATTTTTTAGTTACATTATTATGCATTCATAAGAATAGAAGCCTGTGCACAAGTTGCTTAATGTATGACCAGTTTTAAATTTGATCATTTTCTCATATTTTTTGTACTGTGAGTTTTTTCCAGTTGTAAATTTTGCAATTTGTCTTCTCATAATGCTTTGTTTAAATTTAAAGCTGCAGTTAAAATTTTCATATTGTGTATTTCTAGCCTTAAAGCTCTTAGTATATTGCGATTTTTAATTTTAGGAAAATTTAGAAACTCATCATGAAGAAAGCCTTAAGTGCATGAAGGATAAGTTGGAAAATGCTGAAAAGAACTACAGAACTCAAATGGAGGAAATGAAACTGAAATTTTTCCAGCTTGAAAAAGAAAAGTCAGCTGTAGAAGATAAAAATAAAGAGCTTGTAAGTATACAAACTAAATTTTCTGAACTTAAAGCAACAGAAAATGATTTGAAATCAAAATTAAAATCTAAGGAGGAAGAACTGAATGTTTTGCAACAAAGATTTGAAACAGTAAACAAAGAACAAGTGGAAAAAATTCATAGTTTTCTGGAATCTATGAAAGACAAAGAAAACATGATAGTCAAGTTAAAGACTAATCTTGAGCTGATAACAAAAGAAAATTCTGAAAAAATTGATGATTTGAATAAAAGAATTAAAATTTTAGAAGAAGAGCGTGAGCAGTTGATGTTGCAAGCTCAAGAACGTGTTTCAAATACTGAAGCAAAATGTCGAGAGGATATTAGAGCATTACAGGAAGCCAATAACAGGTTACTTTCAGAAAATAAAGAACTTGTAAGTGTAAATTTTTTCTTTGGTTTAAATTTTTGGTGTTAGTGTAAGTTTGTTTCTAAATGTGTTCACACATTAAATGAAATTCATTATCTATTCCTAGTTAGTTGCATCGTAAAATTAGTGCAGTTCTTTTTTATTTCATTGTATAAAACTTAATATTGCCATGTTGTACAGAAATGCATACATGTACTTAGCTATTTTCATGATTACTAGGATTTTACTACAATTATAATGTTAAGCAAAGATATATAAGCATATATTATGTCTTGAAATTTGATATGTATCAAGAGAAGAAATGTGATTAATTTTTTTGTACTTTTCAGTTAAGTTTTTATATTTACTTTTAACACTTTCGCATCCAATCCGCCCCAGGTGGCCCTACATTGAAACAACCAAAACCACTCGAAAATGGCCGAGATTGTAATCCTATTTTCTTCCCTCCCTGAAGGTATGCAGTAACAAATGCAATTTCCCTGAATGCATTGATCAGTTTACTGCAGACAGCTTGTCCTAAGAGGTTTCTTATCTTTTAGTTGATCGTGACATTTCGTTGTTTCTTTTGTGCTACAGTGTGCTTTTAAGCTTTAAACAGCAATAAAAGTGCAGTTTAAAAATTTAAGGATTATATTTATTTTTAAACAATTTATTCCTTCCTATAAAAATAATGGAAGTAAACAAAATCTCAGTCGTGATCATAACAAAGCCAGAAAGGCTTGTTGGTCTGACCTACAGAATAGTTTTATAAAGAACAGGGTCAAAAGCTAGTGGAATCTTTGTTAAAAGAAAAGTACAAAGGATGTCATTGGAAATCTTCACACCTATTTTCTGTGTTAATGGACGGGGAGGGGAGGAAATTGCTGTGAAAATGGAAAACTATTTCGGATGGTTCAGTATTTTGAGGATACAGGTTAGCAAAACCAATATTCTGTCAAGATTTTTGCTTATTATGAATGCAGAGAATAGTGGCAATAACTATATAAATTGATAATGATAAGAGAAAAGGAATAAATTATATATGTAATAAAAATTTTTGAATAAGCTTTAAGAAATTATTTCATAGTATTTTAATGGTATATGTTAAATGTTTTATTGTTTGTACATAATTCAAGTGAAAATTTTTTTATTGTCTGTTCTTCAGTCATGGTCATTTTGTTTCTGATTTTAAAAAACATGAATTTTTTTAAAAAAGCTAGTAAGAGTATATATATCGTATTTGGATCTTCATTTTCATTACATGCTAATGCATGTACAAGAGCTATACTCGTAGAGAAATGTCTTAGCGGTATTTTGAGATAGAATTGTATCTCAAGTATAAAATCAATTCTATTAATTTTGGTAATATTGCTACAGCAAATAGTTTAAAAATTAGTGCACTGTTATAATTGTCATTGTTTAGGTGTCTAAAACTTTCATGAATTTTTAAAACATATATATTTTGATTTGGAAGCTCTTTTAAAATTATTTTTTACCATTGCTGCCCTAAAACACTGTTGCCATAACCTTGTAAGCTGATTATTGTCTTTTTTAATTGCATTTTCATGGAAGATACATATGTTGCGACTCCTCTGGCTGCTGCTTAAGTTCAGGAGTCATACAAAAACATGAATCTCATCTCTGATTACAGTAGGCCTCATCAGTTCATTACCTTCTTTATGATATTGGGTAAAAAATTTAAAAGCACTGTCATTATTTTATATTATTCTGTAAGCATTTATGAAATCCTATTATTCTGTAAGCATTTATGAAATCCATTGAAAGCACAATTTCTTGTAGCACAATTTCATGTCTGTGAAACATGGAAAATTTACTGATAGTATGGAAATAGTAAATTGTCTGTTTTCATAAAATATGACATCCATCCACCAAAATTGTGAGCAATCAATGGTGGCTTGCTCTAATGTGTATCATCATGCACATTCTCTTGGTAACCTCTTTAACAGTCTCATTCATTTACAAACTGTACTGTTACTCATAGCATTCAGACCATATACTAGTGTTATTTCTTGTGGTCAAGAATCAAGTAATGGACTGTTATTTCACAGGTGGCAAGACATTTGATCTTAAATATTTCCATCTTGTAATATAATGCTTATGTTGCTGACAGAATTAAAAATGCCATCTGTTTGTATGCAGGGAATGCCATCAGAAATTGCACATGTGCAAAATTACAGATGTGAACAGACTTAAAAAAGATATTGCCAGATGGTCTTTACTGATAAATGTTGATTATCCTATGTGTAAATGGTGTTCCTGTTTGTATAGATTGGCTATCCTCTTGTGAGGTTGAAGTTTTACATGACACCTTTGCAGCCATCTGTCAGAAAGCTATTTTTAATCATATGATGATAGCATCTAGAGCAATATACTTCAAATATCAATGGATGGGCTATTAAAAAAGTGTTCTTTCATAAATTATAAATATCCTAAAACTTTTCTGGTATTTTAGTAGTATGTATAGATCTGTTACAGAAGAAATAATTTTCCAATTTTTATATGCAGGGTTCGTAATTACTGATGCCTTAGACATAATTTTATTTATAATATGTATGAATTAATTATTCACAGAATTGAGTAGTTGCTAGGCACAAAGTAACTAATATTTTTGTATCATTATTTTTTATTAGATAATTTTTTTATAATTATTTTTCTTTCCAGGAAAAACTGAAAGTTAAAATTGGACTTTTAAATAACCAGTTAGATGAAAGTCTTCTTGTAGCTGAAGCTAATCAAGCTGCTGCTTCTAAAGAAATAGCAGAACTAAAAGAGCAGCTTGCAATGGCTCAGGAAAAGGTATGCAGCATTGAGAAAGAAAAATCCAGTTTTGAAACACAATTGTCTGAGAATTTACAGAAGCTTCAAACTGAGAATAAAATTCTGTTGTCAAAGACTGATAATGTAGAGCAACTTAAAGCAGAAAAAGAGGAACTGAATGAAAAGTTAAAATTTGTTGAAAAACAAGTAACGTATTTAAAACAGTTGGAAGAAGAGAAAAAATGTCTGAAAGAAGAAAAAGAAAGTATAATAGAAGAATTAAAATTAATAAAATCTGTACAGGAAGAAGTTTTTACTTTGCAAGAAAAAGTAAATTCCTTTCAACTAAATGAGAATCTGCTTAAAACAGAAATTGAAAACTTAAAAGCTAATAAAGAAAAGTTGATGTCTGAACTATCTGTTATCAAAGATTCTTTAAACAGTGAAAAAGAGTCTTTTAAGTATGAAAAGGAAAAGTTGCTGAAACGTATTAGCTTGTTGGAAAATTTTGACTCTTCAGATTCAGAAAATGCTGCATTAAAAGATTATATTGCTATGATTAAAGGGGATTATGAAACAGCATTGAAAGCAAAAGAAACTGAGATGGAAAGTAAATTAAAACAGCTTGTTAAAGACTTTTGTGTTCAGATGGATATAAAGGATAAAGACTGTGATCAAATGATTTCAGAAATGATTGGTAAGCATGTGCTCATTAATTTTAGTTTCACTAATATCTCCAATCCCTTTTTTTTTTTTTTTTTTTTTTTTTGACAAGGGGTGTAATTTTATTATTTTGCATTGATTATTGGTTTGGTAGTCAAGTTTTCACCTCCTCTTTTTTCAAACAGTAAAAAATATAAGTGTAAATTGTCTAAGAAAGACCAGAATGTAATATTTTTTGTCACATAAAAAGAAATAATTTTATAATGCTTTTTTTAAGTCAATGGTGTAATTACCTTCATAATCAATGACTTTTTTCCCACCTATTGGCCAGATTATCAATTCCAGGTCTGTTGAACAAAGATGGGTTTTTGTTTTTAAAAAACAGAAATTCCATTTTTAGTTTCTTCTACATTTAAATTTTTTGGGGGGGGTCAAGGAATGTTGCAATTACTTGAAGAAAAATCAGAAAGTGTGGTGTTGTAGTGTTTATGTTAATTAACACATTATCTTATGATTTGAATCTATGCTGTCATTTCTTCTTTTTGCTGACTATCACCAGAATACAATTAAATTAAGAATATTTACGTTGGAGTTTTTGAAAGTATTGCAGACAGACCTTTTGGTAATGATACTTTTGATTGTACTTTTCTATCACCCAATTCTGCTACATTAATTATCTGGCGTTTTCCATTTTGCTAGCCGAAGTTGAATTACACATATAGAATATGAACCAGTGCTTAGTTAGGCCATTGGTATTTTAGTCTGTTGCTATGAACCACTTAAATTTGTGCATTAAACTTTTATTATTATAAACTTATTTTATATTTGTGCATAAAACTTAAATTATCTAATATTTGCAAGTAGCTGAGTTTTAATTTTAAGTGCAATTTTTGCAGTTATTAAGTTCAGGTATTTAATAAAAAGATTGTTTAAAAATTTCCTAGGGTTCCAGTGTAATTTTGCAGAAGAGTTTAAGTTAAATTTACAGAGAGAGAGTAACTTTACAATGTCAGGCAAATAAAGTAGAAGGGTCAGGCAAATAAGAAAAGAAACTGAGATAGAAAGTAAATTAAAACAGCTTGTTAAAGACTTTTGTGTTCAGATGGATATAAAGGATAAAGACTGTGATCAAATGATTTCAGAAATGATTGGTAAGCATGTGCTCATTAATTTTAGTTTCACTAATATCTCCAATCCTTTTCCAACTTCCATTTTAATTCTTTGATTTTATCCAGAAGCTTTCTTCCTGAAGCAGAATGTAGTCTTACAGTGTCATGCAGCAGAAGAGTACCTTTTGTGTTAACAGTAGTTGGATACTTTTCAATCAAAGCTTTACTTAATCTAATTATTGGCAATAAAGGTCTGTAGTTACAGTTTGACATGGTTCGCAGAACGTGTTATGGCTTTGGCGTAACTAATGGAGTTTGATTGGGAGAGAATCATTAATTTTATGTTTGGGATTGCCATTTTGCATCTCCAGTCACGACGGCATTAAGAAATGTTTTTGTGTTAAGTCGTTGGAGCAACAAATTACAGGTGGTAGAATGATTTGTTTTTCCATTTGTTTAGTGTATGAGAAATCCAACCACTTTCTTGATTGATTAGCCAAAATATTTCAAGTTTATCCAGTAACTCTTCAATTGTTTGACAAAGATGTTCTTCCACAACTGTCCATAAGACATTATTATCAATATACAATGAGCTTCTTGAACTAGAGAGTCACAAAGACCAAAATTCGCCAACTTGAACCTAGCAAAGAACCTTTGCCATTTATGGATATCCAGTGCAGCTATATGATTATCACAAGGTATTTGCGTATTAGTGAGTCACTTTGGCAGATTTTTTTTTCTTTAGAAGATTAAGAAGGATTTATACTTGAAAAAACATATTTATTCCATACTTAAATATTTTGCATTTTAATTTGGTAATTATTTCAAAAATCAAAATACTAGAATTACTTCTGTTGCAGATAAATTCCACAAGTGTACATTTTAAAATTGAACTGAAAATTTATATTAAAAAAAATTGTGTGTGGAAATGGGAGGAGGAAAATCACCCAAAAATGGTATCCATGCTTATTCAAACTGAAGAAGTGTTATGTGTGGTTGGCCAGAGTACGGCGCATTCTGAAAATTTGGTGACTTTGACTGAGGTACCTATCAGTAATGTATAAAAACTGATCACAAGTTTTTTTTTTTTTTTTTTTTTTTTTTTTTTAAATTTGTGAAACCCGAATATCATGCAAAGCCAATTATGCACCTCATTTGGTTTTTGACTTGACATTTCAAACTGGGGTGTTATAAAAATGAAGTTAACATGTAAATGAAACAAAGTAAATGCCATGATTTTGGAATATGTTTTCAAATGATTAGCATTAAACAAATATTGATATTCGCAAATATGGCATTTTCCGTTTTGAATTTGTAGATATCTCTTTAAATAACTGCTTCAAATGAGCAGGAAGGTTTTAACAATTTATTTTAACTAATAATGAAATACAACAAAATAAATAGCTGAAAATAACTCAAGGAGAATGTAGAGAAAAGGCAAATCCTTCTTAACTCATGAGAAATATAATAAATTCCAGATGTCATGAGTAACTCAAACAACCTGAGTCACACAATTAAACTTTCTTTGAACTGCAGGTTTTCTGAGAACTGATGATTGAATCTTGGCATCTGAGCTTTATTTATATGGTGGTGGATGGGCTTCAGGGAGCTTTAGGAAAATTTTTACCTAGAACTCCCAAAATGCATTTTCCTGAAACTTCCAGAAAGTTAGCAAGTTGGTGAGAAGTTGCCAGATGTTACCAATATGACAACAAAAATTGTCACTAGGCCTGTCAGGAGCTTCTGCCTATATCTCATCTTTTGATTCAGATATTTTCATGCTTAAACATTATTGGATTCAGAATCATAAGATCTGCAGTTTTACACAAAAAATAAGCACTTATACATAAAACATGTGCCACAAATTACACCAAAATAAACCCTAAAATTATTACTCTGAATGTAAAAATTAAACACATAAATAAATTAAACAGTGCTTTATATTTCAGCAATCACAAAAATACAACAGTATACATATTTTTCTCTGTCATGTGTGTGATATATACTCGCACACATGTACATGACAACAAAAAATATCAGTGTGTAGACATTGATATATTTTATTGTCATATATATACACACACACATATATAAACCTCACAGTGGTTTTAGATACATACATTGATGCATTTAAATGTACATACACACGCACATATATATGCAGATATAATTTTATTATTAACAAACTATTTAATAATATGAATTCTTTTAGTGTGATGATCTTTCTTCTTGCTTTCAATTGCTTAATTACCACTTTGATAAAAATTTGTTTTCCTTCAAAGAATTCTGCAAGGCTGGCATGCATTTCCTAAAAGTTAAATGATCCCCCCCCCATTAAATTAGTTAATCATCCCCCATCATTATCAGTTATTACAGTGATTAAAGCAGGTGGTAGTTTAATATCAGTATAATGGTTTTCACAAGAATTTCCCTTACTAATTTAATTTTTATATCATTTGAAGAGCTACGTGAATTTAAGCTTATCCTAATAGAAGACAATTCCCTTGGAAATTGGTAATGTTAGTCCTTTGCTTAATCAGTTGCAGAGATTGTGTAATATCTGATAGTTATATTAAGGTGAATTCCATTCTTCTCCTGGGGGGGAAGTAAAATGCCTCTTTCATTTATTCTTTTTTTTTTTTTTTTTTTTTGAAAATAAATTCTTCATTTAGTGTTGTGATTGAATAAAATAGTTCAGAAGGAATATTCCTTTAGAATGTCTTTGAAAAACATGGTAGGAACTTTAGATATAAATATGCTTTTGTGATTATTTAACTGTATTTAATCCCTAATTACCTGACTTTTAATGGGCCCATGTCTTTTTCTCATTAAGTTTTTATCATAATTCATTGGTCACAAATAATTACTGATGAAACTCCTCTAAAAACAATAATTGATCATTTAATTTTCTTCCCTACAGTATATCAAATTTGAAAACCATGTGTAATTGGCACAGTTGATCAGAAACATACTCAGTCTGGAATTTGTTGCAAGATATGATGGGAGATGTTCGTCACCTAACTGTTACAGAATGTCATTATCTTACTTTAATCTGCCATATCTGGTTTTATTGCTCATATCAAAACCTATGGAATGTAGTTTTCTAAACAATTTTTAGTACATTGCCATTATCTGGACTGCATGAAACAACAACAAAAATATATGCTCAAAAGTGCAAAATGTAACAAATGCACCCATTTAACCATATATAAATTTATATAGTTCTACATTTTTAAGTCACAATTGAAGTACTGGTTTAATTTTTGAATTCTGTTTTGTTAATGCTATGGATCTAACAATTTTGGAATTGCCCAATGTCAAAAAGTCTGCAGTAGAATTTTTTAAAGAAAAGTTAGTGTTCATAATAGGAAATTTTGCTCAAAGAACGAAATCAGGTTGTGTTGTATCAATAATTCAGCAGCAAAATGGTTCTGCATGAAAGAAACTTGTAATGAGAAGAAATTAGGAATTCAAAATTGTTTTGAAAGATTTAAAAGCCTGTTTCTTACAGCTGTGAGATTCATCTGTTTTTGTTGTCAGCAGATGACATCTACTGACATTTGTGAGCTTTATCTGAAGATGTATCTATATGTATGTCTATATCTGAAGATGTATCTATATGTATGTCTATATCTGAAGATGTGTCTATATGTATGTGTATATCTGAAGATGAAGTACAATACAACTGTAGACTGGAACAGGTAGATGCATGAGGTGTGTGTCACAGCTCTGATTGCTCGGTGTTAGTTGAAATTCGACAGATATGACAAGATTATTAAAGTGGATGAAAGTCTTTTCATCCATAGAAAGAACAACACTGTAGGTATTCTGATGCCACAGTGAGTTTTCAGCAGATTGTGCAGAGAATGAAATGAATTGTTTTTTTGTCACTGTTCCAAATTAACCATCAAAAACTTTATTAAATGCCATAAAGGAAATTATTGCAGAAGAGAGCATTGGTTTATTTATACTGATTTATACTCTGAGATGCTAACTTTGAGCATTTTGCTGTCAACCACAAATATAATTTTGTAAACCCCATAAGTGGGTATCATATACAAGAGTGGCTGTGAGGTAGTGCTGAATGGTGTAGTAAATGCCATTGGGGTACTGCTCAATAGCTAACTTTAATTCCTATTTGTCAGAATTTATGTGCAGATGTTTATACATAAAAATTGAAATTTTGTCTGCAGTGTTGGAAGACATAAAAAATTTTGTGCTTCCCATTTAATTTCAGTTTTATCCGCCTAATTTTTTTTTTTTTTTTTTTTGGTATTGATTGCTGTAAAAAAAAAATTTAACATATGAAATTAACCTTTCATCTAAATTAAAATAATGTTTTTACATTTGTTATTTACTCCTATGTTTCTTTCCTTGCATTAAGGTTACCCTAATTATTTTTGGCATCAACAATAGTTTGGCAAATTGTTACAGTCTGGATAATGGAATTGTACCAGTTTTTCTCATAAAAGTTATCATAATTATATGATGCTTTATTCATTCTCTCCTCCTCCCCCCCTCTCTCTCTTTTATATTGTGATATTAAGACCATTTTTAATGAATAGCACACTTTTTCACTAATCTTTTCACTTTAAAAATTAAATCATTTCATAATTCCTTTTTCTTTGTGATAATTTGTCACTGTGATCTTTCTTCTTTTTTTATGATTCCTCCCTTTCCCCTTTTTCTGTACAAGTGGAGATTATTTACATTATGAATAAATTACGTATATATTTTTATGTAATGTATTTGTAAGTAACTGCCTCCACTTAGCTTGCTTGTAAAATCTGTTAAAGAGGTAGTAAAAACTTTAGCTCAGTATGATGATGTTTAATATCAAACTAAACTTCACTTACTTTTACTTCATCAATTTAATATGTCAAAATTGAAATTACTCTTCCCAACCCAGTGTTAAAGAATGGGTTTAGAGAATATTACTTGCTTCTAGCGAATATTTTCTGCCCATGCAGTTGGCATAAGTGTTGTGCTGCTTATAATTTATTCTACCTTGAATGCTGTCTATCATAGAAATTTAAGTTAAGCTATATGTGTTCTTAGTATTGCAATTTTAATAGCCAGTTTTGTGATTGCAAGTATTCATTATTTTATTTGAAATAAAGATTTAATTTTTGTATGCATATATATGCATATGATAATACACTGTACTTTTTGTTAATAAATGGAAAAATCTTTTTTTGGGGGGGGGGGGTCCAAAAACATTGTTAAGTAAATAATTAATTTTGTTATATGTTGAATATTTGTGTAGAAATTTCTATTTTTAAATGAAGATATTTGTATTTAATAACATTGTGAATAACCATTGTGATCATATGAAAAATAATTTTCTGTACTTGTGTTTTTTAGAGAAAAGTCAAAATCTGGAGGAGAGACTGCAAAAAGAATATAGGAATGAAATAGCTGCTTTAAAACAAGATATGTTTGAAAAAGCTTGTGCCTTAGAAGAGATGCGAGAATCTTATGAAGAAGCTTTACATGTGTGTATAGATGTTTTTGCATCACCTTTTTGTGTGTGTATGTGTATACAATATTTCATAAATTTTGTCTTTTTCAATTTGTACATAATCATTTGGGAATACTTATTTTAACTAATAATATCATTTTACTTAAAACTGAAGAGAGTAATAATGTGCAGTTATTTACTAATTAATTAGGTTGGAGATTAACCAGGTCTTGCTTTAAAAAAAAGTTAAGTTTGCTAATTTCAGAATGGTAAAAAATTACTCTCTCAATTCATTAGAATAAAGCAAAATTTCTGTGGGAAATACAAAAAGGAAAAATAAATGCACAGGATAACAGCAGTAATAGCAGTTGATGCCACATTGATTAGGAGTTGCTTTTGTATGCAACACTATGTAATTTAATTGTATAGTATATAAATATTGTTAAATCATCTTTTAAAAATAAATTTCTAAATCATAAGAATAAATTTAGCATACAGTCATTAATTTTCTATTTTCCATTAAATTCCATTGAAATATAAGGCTATATATATAAATTATTCTCTTTGTTTTGAAGTATGTTATTCTTATTTTAAATACTGATTTAATTTGGATAACCAGGTAAAGTTATTTCCCAAATCAAAATGCTTAAAAATACAGGTAAATTGTTAATAATATTTTTTCTGTTAAATATCGGTATTTCTTGTTTCCTGTGTCTTTGTAACTGCTGACAGGCTAATCATGGACATTGTCCTCCATATTGTTGCTTGCACACAGGTTCATAATAGGTTGAATGCACATAGCTCTGATGATAGGTTGATAAAATTAATTTTTATCAAAAGAAGCATTTTTTTTTTTTTTTTTCTGAGCAAGACGATGGGAGAAGGCCCAAAGACTTGCTGAAAGTTCGATAACATCGTTTTCTTGCATTTCCTTTAGAAGTTTTCCTCTCTCTTCCTGTTTAGCAATCAGTTGATGTCTTGGTTGTTACTTGATTGGGGGGATGATCTCTGGTATCAATTTTATTTTGACTCAAACTGGTTCGACCTATGTCAGAGGACGAGCGTGAGAAAATGCCTTGGAATCTTGAATAATATGTTCAGCAGCACTCCTCTCTTCATCATTTAGTTATGCATTCTGCAATAACTCTGATGTTAGACATTCTAAAGACATGGATTCTGGAGGATTACTGTTTCATCTAATGCATAATGTCTAAACATTTTCTTTTTCATCCTCAGTAAAATGAAATCAAAACTGTGCAGTTTGAAGGGATGTGGAGACAGAAATGCGTGTATAAATTATCATGTAAATATTCATCAATATTGAGGAAATATACATAGGGAGGTTACAAGAGCAGTATCTCAAGAACATAAATAATAACACCACTTATTTCAGCTTCAGAATTCAGCACATGCATGCCTTACATTGAAAAAATTAGATTTAATGAATCTCAGATTTTAAAGGAAGTGGATATTTGGTGCTACAATCTAGTAATAGAAATTTGCATTGTGCTAAGATTACCATATAAAACAGACAAAATTTTCAGACCAATCAGGAATTTTTAAAAATGTTTATTATTATAATTTTTTTTTAATAAATTTTTAGAAGGGATAACTAAGGCTAAAGTCATTGTAAAAGGCTCTTATTTTAGAAACAGCTTTTCTCCCATTATCAGAACTAAGAGTTTGAAGCAGCCCAATGTACTTATTCAAGATTTACAAAAGGAATAAATGAAAAAGGGGCATGTTTAATTATAATAATCATAATTTTTGTATATTATGTAGTATATTCCCTGTTTTTGGATAAAATTTGTATTTTGTAATTTCAAGCCTGAAGGGGCAATTTGCTCAGAAGAGCTATTAATTTCGTTTTGGCATTTTGCTTTGATTTGCTGTAAATGGTGCTTCACTTTTCAAATTGTTGCCAACAAATATTATATTTAAATATGCTAAATTTGCCTGCATTATATTTAAAGCAATTAAATAATGAAGAATCTGCATGAATATATGTATGTTTCTCACACTTTGAAACAACAACAGTACCTAGAGACATCAAATTTTTAGTAACATAGTCCTCCAGTCGAATATGGATATCTGGAAGGCCAAATTTGGAATTTGCTTTATTATATGTTTCATATTTTGTAAAACTAATGAATTTTTGGATTAACAAACTCACCGAATTCAAAGCAAGCAATGGCAACACTGTTATTGGGGGGGGGCATTTTTATCCCCAGTGCATGAGTGTGTCGGAAATTCTGGAGATATGCTCTTTTTAAATTATTTTTTGCTATTGCTGTTGAAGTGAATTTTATTGTTTAAGTATGAAGAACATGATATTAAATAAATGAAGGTGACACACAAAATGTTAAAAAAATGCCCCTTTGGGCTTAAAATCTGAAAGCTTTTAGATTTTTTAAAAATTAATTTAGAATGTAAAAAAGTGCTAATTTATTTTCGCATTTGCTTGAAGGCTGTTGGTGATTTATCAATTGACTAGCCTGGGAAAGTAGCTAAAAAGATATGTCTGATACTAGTGCTATGAAAATCTACAACTACTGTTTTTTGCATTTACTCTACACAGAAAAGTGATTTTTGTATGTAGGAAATGGAGTGCAAAATAAATTCTACTTTTATTTTTAAAAATCAGTGTTGCAGTTTGTGAAAAGGGAAATTTTTAAATTCTTCAAATAGAAAATAAATAATTCATATATAAACTTACAAATGCAGGTAGAAAATGAAGTTTTAATTATCAAAATTAACATCATGTGAATCAGTTTTGCACCTCCCAAAGAAAAAAAAAAAATTATGTTACTGGAATTTAAACTCCATTTTCTTATGATTAGGATATCTTTACCTTCTAATATACCCAAACTGAGATCTTTTGAATACTTTTTGCATAAGGATGAAACTTTTCGCTGCAACTATTGGCAACTACTATAAATATTTTAATTATACCTATTACTATAAATATTTTAATTCTATTATAGTCTAAGTGGATATTGTCATCAATTTGATGACTTCATTATCTGCGAATTATTTTGAAATTTATTTCACTGCAAACTTAATACAAAGTACAGTCAAAAGTCGTTAATTTGGACACCAACAATCCGGACCTCAAAGCTACAAACTTTCTGCATATGCGTCGTGTTGATGCATGCGCATAAGACCTTTACGGCTGCGAATATGCATGTGCGCGTGCGCAAAATACGTTTACGAATGCGCTCTTAATGTGTAACGGACGGTATAAGCTAAGCTAAAATTATCTAATTCAGTTAATGTTGCAGATTGTGTTGTTCCTTAATCTTCAAATTGGATTCGGCTTATTATTTTTTGCAGACAGTTATAAAAGTAAGCTTGAACTTTCGATTATGTCAAATAGAATTTCTGATATATATTTACTAATATGTAAACGATCTACAAAGCCAAAATTTGTTTCGAAGTCCATTAAACAAAAAGTGGAATTGCTGCAAAAAATGGATAAAGGCATAGCCTTTGTTTATCTAAACTTTAACGTTTGTTTGTCTAAACTTTGTTTATTTTTAACGCCGAGGCGCGCAATGAATTGGAAGTTGATCTGTCAGCACTATCCTTATCTTCAGAGCAGATGTTTTTATTTTATTTGGCTTATAATTCCTTACTAAGTGTAGTATTTCATCTCGATGTACTCCATCTTTGATATGATTTAAATCAAATTCCTCGTCATTATAATTCGCTTCCGATAGCGAAGACTTCGAAAACGAAAGAATTTCGATTGACAAATTAGTCGGTATTCTCGACACAGCAATTATAGGACTTGAACAGCGGAACTTTGTAGCTGAACAAGAAATTACGTCTGTTTATAGAATTAAAGAGAATGTATTATCACATAAAAAACGAAGCAACTTAAACAACTTACATTGAAAGAAATGATACATAAAGTAAACAAATAAATATTGAGCTTTTTTTTTTTTTTTTTTTTTTTTTTTTTTGTAAATTTTGATACTTTTTAGATCATAATTGTTCTTTATTTCATAAGTTACGGTTTCATATTTTTAATTTCATAATTTCTGCAAGCCATCTTACCAGATTTAAACTGATGATCTATAATCCGGTATCTCCGAAGTCCCGACGAGTCTGAATTAACGACTTTTGACTATATATGTTTAATTTAAATTTAGTAGAGCTAAATAAAGTTAATAAGTATATTTAGTATATTTTCAGAATATTTTAATGTATTTAGTAATAAATATTTGTTTTAGGAAAAAGATGTAAAAATAAAAGAGTTAGAATTGGCCCTGAAAAATTTATCACCGAATTGTGGTAATGCATCTTCAGGTGATTGGGATGATACATGGGCTGTTCCTGAAGAGGTTAGTATTATATTGTTATTTGTCACTTGAAAGAAGGAGCGCTTTGCATTTTTGTATATGCTAGTTTGTGGTTTGTCTTTCTAATATTTATCATTTATGATGCATTTTCATGCATATCACATAAATTTAATATGCATGAGAATTTTTCTTTAGTTTTAACATCTGATTTCAGAGCTTGATTATTGTATATATTCCATTTAAAAGTTCAGAATAATAAGAATTTAGAATTTAAAGAATAATAATGTAATTAAGAGTTTATATAATGCATTCATTGATAAAAGCTATTTTTATTTAGTACAATTTATTTTTTAAATTGAAATCGTTAATCAGATAGAAATTTCATTTGAGGGTTTTATTCAATTTTATTGCAAACATAAAAACATTTAGGTTTAAAGGATTTAAAATTCTGTTTTTGTTAATGTACAGGATGTCTACAAAACATGTAGATAACCTTCATATTTTATTTACTAGAATAGAGAAGCTGATAAATTCATTTGTATTCAAACCGAAATGGTGACTCTGAAAATTTGTTTGAATATAGTGTTGGTTAATACCAAATGATTTGTAAAACTAATCTTCTTGAAGGTTAATGTAGGATGTGGTCACCTGATATAAAATAGCTACCTCTTCTTTTGATAGTAACTCTAATATGATTTCTTCTTCAAAGTTTTATTAAATGTATTCGCTGTCTTCTCTAAAAGAAAAGAGATGTCTCTTATTTAATTTTAACACATAACTGTAATTTCCTGTGTATATTGTAATATTTTGCCATATGCATAAATAGAGACTGCTGTTTCAATGTTCTTTTATCATTTTGTAGCTGAAAGATTTCTGGCCATTTTAAAACTAGCCCCCCCCCAAAAAAAAAATCTTACAACAAAAGGCTTTTTAATTCCTGCTCCGGTGGATGTTATAAATAGAAAGTAAAGACAAAAGAAAGTGCATTCAATTTAAACACGATCTTTATATAATTACTTTTAAGAAATTCTTTTCTTTTAGGCTTCAAATATATGTTCAGTGCTTCTGAGTGTGGATAGTGAGACAGAATGAAATTCAAAGTATAAGTTTATGTGCTTTCATAATAGTATTATTACTGTAGATATTTGGTTTCACAGGAATAGTTTTTAGCTGTAGATCAAATTAACCCCGTATACCAAGGTATGAATATCCACAGACTTTAAAGATACAAAGTGCCACTGTGATTGGCCCCTGGCAAGCTTTTAGTTTGAAGAGAAAGTTTCAACAGTGGAATAGTCTGTTTATTGAAAATGGATATTAGGAGTTTTTAACTTCTTACCATTTTGCTAATACTTGGCTTAGTTCCATCATCACAGGAATGAAGAATGATATCTTCATCCCTGTGATGATGGTGTGATATTTATACAACCTTTTGCCAACTCAGATGAAAGAGAAAGAATCGCCTAAGCCTCAGAGGAAACAAAGATACACCAGTATAAAGTGATGATGTATACTTGATGAGATTTGCATAGCATAATTCTTAAGTGATTAGTGTGATTCTTTTAGGGGTATCAATATTGCTACCAAACTGTACCGCTAAGAATTGCAGTATGTCTGTGATAAGCTCTTTTAAAGGTGTCCCACTAGGCTGCTATTTAAAACTGGCTACTTAAAAATTATCTCAGCAAAATTTACTGAAGCCTAGACATGAAACTTTTGACTTATATGCTATATAAGCCGAGACCATGCATTAATAAACTGTTCCATGTTGTAGCTACTCAGCTGAATCCGTAAGAAGTGTGCATTCATTAAATGGAGCTGAGATAAAAAAGTAACATATTTTATTTTGTACAAAATAGATAGTTATGATATGAACTTTAATTTTCCAGAAGTTTTCCAACAAACAGCCCAGTATGCAGTATGTCATCTGCACTTATACAGAAAACATCTACCTGTTTTCATAGCTCCCCCAACCCTCCAAAAAAATTAACTCTGTGTCTTTTCAAAATAAAAGGACAAATTTATTCAATTTTTTATAGAATATTATTGATATTGTTGCATAGGGGAATTGTTATAGTTCTGTTATGGTTGGAATGGATTGTTTTAGAGTTAATGGTGGTAGTGTCTAACTGTGAAGCCATTATTAACCGCAATTTTATTTTACATAGTTCTGTAGTAAAGGAGAAGTTTTATTCTGTATATATTACAATAATGTATAGCAATTCATGTAAAGGATTTGGAACATTTTGCACTTATGTGCAGGGGTTTTCATGACTGCATGCTACAATGAACTTTTTAACTGAAACAGACATATCAGAGCTTTTACACCTTCCCTGTTCGCTGTGTCTTCCAGCTTGCATCTTTTTCTCCATCCCTTTATAATCTCTCCACATCTGCTATTAATAATCACTCTGATAGAAAAATTCTAATAGTTATATAACATTTAAAATTAAAACTTAATTAAAATGCATATTTTTGAGTTTGAATTTATTATTTTTATAATATTCGCATATGCATTTATTCTTGCATGTGTTACCTAAACAGCAGCTGAATGAAAAATTGTAAACTTCCACTTTATGATTTCTGTAATGAAGTCATTTAATTTTTTATTAAAGTGCTTTTATTTAATAATATTTTTAATTTTTAGTAAGTTTTTTAATATTTTAAAATCAGTGCATTAAACTTTTATTATAAGGATAATGTTTTTTAAGATTAAAAGTTTACCTATATATTCTGTAGTTGTTGGGTATCTAGAATGCACTTAATGTATAGGTTTATATTCCTTCAAAATAATGTTCAAGTTTTTTATGTGTTTTTTCCGTACTGTATACAATATGATAGGATGTCTAATACAGTCAAAGAATATCAAACCACCTTCAGTGAAGATTTTCTCATATTTTACTGGTATTCATTTTGGTTTGTACCCCATCTGTATTTTATTTGGCACTAGCGACCCACTCTGGCTTCGCATGGGTATAAAATATATAGCCTATGTCACTCACTGAAAAAATGATTAAAATCGATCCAGTAGTTTTGATTTATTCATTACTGCCTGTGGCCCGCACGCGTTAAATTTGGAGTAAAACAATTCCCCTTTCCCTATACCATGAAGATTTCCTGCTATCTTTGGAATATCTAAATTCATACACTACATTTTTACTTATTTACATTTTACATTTTTACCCATTTATTTTATTTTTACACCAATTAATATATTACAGAATGTCTTTATATACAACGTTCACAGCTTTCTTGTCATTAGACAATACAAACATGTTTTCTCTAGAGGTTACTCTTGAAAGAGCGACATACAGTTGGCCATGTGAAAAACAGTCAACGCTCAAATCTAAGCCTGCAACGTTGAAGGTTTGACCCTGCGGTTTATTAATGGTCATTGCAAAAGATGTCTTTACCGGAAACTGTAAACGTTTAAATTGGAAGGGTAAATCCGATGGTATCAGAGGGATTTGGGGAATCAATATATCTTCTCAGGTACCACATCCTGTGAGTATTGTGCACTCTATTATGAAAGTTTTCAGTGATTTTACCAGCAAACGCGTGCCATTGCAAAGTTTAGGTGGATTCAGGTTTCTTAATAAAATAACAGGATAACCTACTTTCAACACCATTTTGTGAGGAGGGAGTCCAGACGGGTTCAAAGAGTTTAGAAATTCTGTAGGAAAATGAACAGCTTCTTCCAAATCGAGAACAGTATCGACCGAGTAGTATATTTTCGTCGGCGCATCAATCTTTGAAAGAATCAAGTTATTTACCCTATCTACTTGTTCATTAGTTGGTGACAGAATCGCTCTTTCTTTCAACCAAGATATTGTCTTATAACTTATCTTATCAATGTCAGGATAGACATTGTTGACTAACTCTTGGATGTTGTCTATCAAAACACAAAGGTTTTCTAGGTTAATCCTTCCCTCACTTTGTGTTAACTCTCCATTGCCAACTTTTAGCAGCATCTCTGGAAATAGCCTGTTCCCATGTGAAGATGACGAAACCCTCATATTAGTTTTAAGCTATAATTTATTGACATGTGGCCAAAGGTTGGATCTTTTTAGGGAAGCATTTATTTCGTCAGCACGTGTTCCTCGAGTCAGAACTGGTAGGATTTGACGGAAATCTCCTGGCTCTCTATGTATTCGATGTCTATCCCTATCTCGGCTGCAGTGAACCTCACGCTCTACTGAAGATTTTCTCTCTCTCTCTCAGCTCTATATCTATCTCGAAGCGGACTGAGTCGAGCCTCACGCTCTACTGATGATTCTCTGTCCCTCTGAACTGTATGCCTATCTCGATCCCGGCTGCGGCGAACCTCACGCTCTACTGAAGATTCTCTCTCTCTCTCAGCTCTATATCTATCTCGAGCCTGACTGAGACGAGCCTCACGTTCCGTTGACGATTCTTCATCTCTTGCAGAACGTACTCTTCTGGCATTCACTGTACTATGACCTATGTTCGAATGACGATGTCTTCCAGACATGACTTTATAATTTCTGTAAAAAATTTACTCAGTTCTATATGTATGATTAGCTATGCACAAATTGCCATATTATTAGTATGTGCCACAGTAAAAAATATCTAAATACTTACCATTTAGAAACAAAAGATAATCAACAATCATAAAAAACAAAAGATACCTATTCTATTCAGTTCTTTTTTTAACTGAAATACCTCAGCTTAAACTACGATTTTAATTAAATTAAAAATACTTAAAAAATAATTTGTTATTCGTGCGACTAAAAACAAAAGATAATCAACAATTATCAACAACAAAACATACGTATTCTATTAAGTTCTTTTTCTGAACTTACATACCTCACCTTAAATTACGATTTTTGAAAATAATTTCCCTAATATTAAATTGATCCAACTCTAAATTTTAACGAAGATCTTAATAGAAAATTCCAATCCATAAAATACGGTTTTATTTAATCTAATCTTATGTACTTATAATTACTATAAGTGCGATTTAAAAATTCATCTACCTTAGAATAGAATATCATTTATATTTTAAAACTACTACCATACAATTATTTATCGTAACTTCATAATAACTGATACGTTGTCGTTATTATGAAGTAAATAACTGATACGTTGTCGCGCTGAAAAACACGTATTTATTAAGTATATTGTTGTTTTCCTCGCTAGAGAGCTCCGATAATAAACGCGTCCGATCGCTGCTAAATTCAAAGTGCTACAGGCACCGCGAACAAGGAGAACCGCGGCCTCCGACGCGCTATTTATAGGCACGCTCCCGCCGCCCCGGCCGGCCGGTACCGCCGCAAACGCTACGTCCTGCAATTTTTTAAATCTGTACAATTTTATAATCTGTACCTTTTCAATGTGTATAATAACAAATATTTTCAATGTGTATAATACAATATTAGTACATTATTTTGATAAATCTCGTAGAGTTTCGCCTGCGTTTGCAATGTAAGCGGAAAAAAAAATGTAATTATTATGACATCACATTAGAAACCTCAAAAATAACAGTATTTCTCCACTATTTAATGGATGTTATTATACATATAAACCTTTCTCTTCAATCACTCTATCTATTAAAAAAAACTGCATCAAAATCCGTTGCGTAGTTTTAAAGATTTAAGCATACGTAGGGATATAGGGACAGAGAAAGCGACTTTGTTTTATACTATGTAGTGATGATGAGTAAGAAGCAATTCTGTTTCATGTGCATTTCCATTTTTGCAGATTGTGGAGAATTCTAGTCCAGTTCACGATTCAAAATCTTGTAAAGAGCATTTGCAACAAATTGAATCTTTACAGGAAGAATTGTCAAAATCCAAGTAAGCAGTACATCATTTCAAGACTTAATAAATTTCTTACTTTCTTCTTCTTCTTCTTTTTTTTTCTTTTTTTTAATGTGATATTTATACTACTACAATAAACCCTTGTGAAACGAAATGTGATTTTGCATATATGTTTTACATTTATTTTCTGCGTTTAATTTGTCCGATGCAAGAATTTCAGTTATATGCGGTATGCTGCAGAGCATCAGCCACATTGCTATAGTCCTCTATAATGACTGGTTAGAAAATTCATTAAAGAAGTTAAACATTACTTAGAACAGCAAAACATGAGCTTTAAAACTTTCTCAATTCTCAATAATGCTCCAGGACACAGTACTGAATCCCTCATAGTGTTGCATACAAACATACAAATTTTATTCCTTCTGCAAAATGCCACTTCCTTAATCTAACCAGTAGAGCAAGGAACATGTGTACATTTCTGGAAATAAAGCACTAGATGAAGGAAAACATGAGACACTAATGGCATTTTGGAAGTAATTCAACATTAGACACTGCATGAGAATGATTAAACTTGCATGGGAAGAAATGAATCCATCAACAATGAATGCTTGCTGGCATCCATGCTGGCCATAAGTTGTCAACAGTGTTGACATCGATTGAAAATTGTACAAATTGCAAAAGCAATAGGCAATGAAGGATTTTCAGAAATGAAAGAAAGAAAAGACTGATGATCATCTAATGACAAATAAAGAATTAGTTGATCTTATAACATCAGCTGACTGGGAAAGCAGCAGTAATGAAGAGGTGCCTTTTATATATAAGAAGTTAAATGAATCTCTAAAAAGTGTCACAGGAACTGTATGATTTTGTAATGGATATTGACTCATTAAAAGTAAGAGATCATTTTATGAAAGGTATCAAGAAATTTTGCTCTTCTTACTGTAAAGCATTTAATAAGTTGCTTCAGACATTGTCCCAAGCAAAAATCACTCGCCGTTTTAAAAAATAATTGTAATCATGTATCTATTTATTAAGTTGTAATAGAAATCCTTTCAATTAACATTTGTTTCATTTTTCCCTTTTAATTACAATATTATTTAGGTTTGTGTAAATTATATACACTTTCTTAATTTGAGCTATATCTAATATGTTTTTCCATAGAAGGTTAACTTTGCGGAGTTTGAGTTTGCTGAACACATAATGTATTAGTAACATTACCTCTGTTTTCAGCAAGAGTTTACTGTATACTGCTTATCCTTATAATGTGTTGTGCTATTTAACACTTTTCTTACTTATCATATTGTTTATTTATAAGTTAATATTGGTATAAATACAAATATTCTTATTGTATTTGTTGCTTGCTCTTCTTTTAACAAGTTTTGTGGATTCAATATTCATTTCCTATTGTAACTTTTTATAATTTAAAAATATCTAAAATGTTTTCAATATAAATTAATCTGTTATTTAAATGAGTTAAATGTTGAACTACTTAAATGGTATTTGAATATTCCTAGCTTTGTTACTATTTAGACACTTTGTAATAATAATAATAACCTTTTATAAAATAAAAGCACATTTTTTGGTAATGATTTCTTTAACACATATATTAACAGTGTAAAACAAAAGGTCATGCAAATTATAAATTAAGTATTCAAATTTTATATCTTAAAATAATGCTTTTTTTTTAGTATGAAATATTTCATCACACTTCTTAGCAGTTTTTGAATTTTGACAGTACTGATTTTTAATAAAGTAAGAATTGACTTTTAAATATCTTTTACGATATTAAGTTGTATTTAGCATTTACTATTTCAGAATATTCAGAAATTATATTTGCATTACTCCAAAGAAATTAAATTCTAGATATTTAAGGTTTTAACCACAATGCTTCATGTCAGAATAAACATTTTCGAAATGAAAAACTTCATGTCTTTTACCATATTAAGTTCTATTTAGTATTTACATTGCTCAAAAGACTTTAATTTCTAGATATTTGAGGATTTAAATCATAATTGCCTCATGTCAATGCTGGACTGCTTGAATTATTTGTTAGAATGGTTTATTATTGGCAGAATATGTTTGGATTTAAACATTGAGGTAAAATGAAATGCTATGCATAAAATTCAGTGCGTGATAATCGTGATATTTTCTTCACTATTAAAAAAGTGTGTTAAAACACATCAGTATTATTTCTAATGAGACTATCTGAAAGGTCCAGACTCTGTGAACTTCCACTAAATCTTGATTATACAAAATCCAGGTATGTTAGTCAGTAGCCATGCAGTTTAGTTAACTGTATACTGAAATGAAAGAATACATAGTAGAAGTTGCATAATTATGCCATATATACATATTCAGCAGCTGCATTGAACTGTGCCCAACAAATGACTTAAAATGCAGTATTTCAATACATACAATCACAATGTGATAACATGTTTTTGTAATCTGCAGTACGTTTGTAGTCAGCAACATTTAAAAAAAAAAAAAAAAAAAAAAAAAAAAAAAAAAAAAAAAAGGGTGGTGTTTTGTTTTGTTTTATAGCATGTATTTTAACTTTCCATCGTGGATTGTGGTGATTAGCATATTGCTAGCCTGAAACCTAGATTGTGCTTTCGACTTCTGTGTAAGGTTTTGTGGTATGTGTGTTGTGCCTTCCTTTTGTAGGTGTACTATCGGTCATTTCTTGCGGTGCACCCTAGGCTGTATTCTCGGTGATGAGACATTCAAATGACAAGTAGTTAGCTATAGTTTTTGCCAAATTCTTAACCAGGCAATATTGTGTTATCAGGCTAAAAAGCTTTCATCTTATTAAGAATGCATTTTAACTAATTTTTTTCTTTTGCTTCATAAAAATTTATGAATATTGTCTGTAATATTATGCAAAACCCATTAGTCCTCAAACAGAATTATTGCATCAGTGCAGCGTGAGGACTATTTTGTTTTGTCCTTTTTGCATTTGGTGCACTTATTGCAACCATTAATAGAATCAGTTCTTGTTTCTGATATAAATGCATATGTGTGCAATATATATGATTGCTATTAATATAATTAGCTCCACTGAATATGGGATGGATCGGGTTCAACATTATGTACTTTATGTTCTACATGCAGTATTAGAAATAAGTTACTAATGATACATGTCATATTTATTGCATGCAGTATTAGAAAACAGTTACTAAAAATACATGCCATATTGTAAGTAATAAACTAGAGTACAAACTAGGCTTCTGTGCACTATTATAACTTTAAAGGAACTTATGTATTAGTGCAACCGCCTTAATAGAATGGTAGTCATGAGCATAACAGTACTTCAGAAAATGGTGATGTTGCTTGTTAAAACAAAAAATATCACCATTTTTGTTTGCTGCATTCCAAGTTCTAACATTTTTATAGATAAATCGCTTCTTTTTTCTCGCTTTTAAAATTTGCTTGAAGAAACTGAGATAAAATTTTTGATTTTTCTAAAAAAGAAGGAATTGCTTTGAATCTCTTTTTCAAGCGATTGTTACAAAATTTCCCATAGAACAGATGAAATAAATATCTGTTGTAAGTTGCTTTATTGATTGACTTTCAAGAAAAATACATAATTTAAGTATGAAATCTGCATGTAATAAATAATTTTTTGCAAATATAAGTCATCATTCTTTTCCTGTGATAAATCGGCAAACTGCACTAAAGTGGTTACGCTAATTAACGTAAGTACTACTTTAAATCAGCTTGTTAAAAATCATCTATGTTGATTGCTGCTTTAATTGTTAAGTCATACCCAGTTGTACTTCAGAAGACATAAACGAAAATGTTTACGTTGTAGTAATTCTTCAGTAATGTAGTGGAAAATAATTATTAAAAGTGTAGGAAAGTTTAATTCTAAAAATAATGTGAAAATACACATAATTTTTATGTGATGCATACATGTTGACATTACATACAACCTTTTTGGCTGTTCTGGAGGTAATTTTTATTTTCTCTTGTAAAGGTATTTCTTCAAGAATTTTGTAATATTTTTCTTGTGTCATTTGATGCTGATATACATGACTTCAATAATTTCTTTTTTCATAGTTCTGAAATCAAGGAACTTAAGATTCTTTTACGCCTCAGTCCTCCGGAATCTATGGTTAATAATAACAACAGAAGAGATTCATTGCAGTCTATTCCAGAACCTACAGAATTTGAGGTATTATATCTCAATGAAATATTTAGTTCTATTAAAAATAGATCAGTGCTTTTAAAAGAGATTCTCTGTCTTGCTTTTGGCAAAAAAAAAAAAAAAAAAAAAAAAAAATAGTATTAGTTCTCTAATTACTTTTATCAAAAGCATAAAACATAATTGTGCTATTAGTTATTAGCCTTTAAAACTTGGTTGGCTCTGGTACGGAGACATTGCTCATTTGTTTAGCAACTCAAGTAACTCTCTGCTAGAGCCAAATATTTGTAACATGATTATGCTTAAGATGCTATGTTACTGCCATGATTAGCAGTTGTTAATTGTAATTAAAACAGGTAGTTAAACATCTCGAATGTTGAGGTTTAATTATTTTATGATCTTTTTTATGGTTAAAAAACATGGCGATGAATGAATATTATAGTACAGTTTAATGTTGCTGGCCATGAGAGGACTCAACTTTTTTATTTTATGTTTATTGTGGATTTTTTTATTGAAATGTAGTGGGAACAACAAAAAAAAAATGATAAATGTTTTTCTCTAAGCAAATGAATTGTAAATAGCTGTAAATAAAATTTTCAGTGTGGTATAAATAAATACAGTAGAAAACATAAATATAAATGGTAAATTACTGAAGTTAACATAAAGAGCCTATCGCTAATTGCGAAAAATTATGACAAGGTAATAAATATTTTGAAAGAAAGGTTTGGTAAAAACTTTTTTTTTAATAAATGCACATATGAATTGTGTGCTGAATTTAGATTTTAGAAATTGAAATTAGAAGCCTCGATTCCCTTAACATTTCTTGGAATTTTTACAGCTATTTGTTATGCCCACTGCCAGTGGGAATTTAACATCTCGAATATTGAGGTTCATATATTGAATTCCACTGCCAGTGGGAATTTGTCCTAGCAGATTAGTTCTAGAGTTCAATCGATCGTTAATCCCTGGCATAGAAACCACAGTGACTAACATGTTGGAATTTCTGAAAATAGAAGTTTAAAGCAGAGAATATGAATTTTTCCAAATATCATGAAAAAATTCTGAGTTTAACATCAGAACTGAAGAACATAAATATCAATCGTGAGACCTTATTAAAAGTGAAAAATATCATACTGTCTTAAAAAATAAACATTTTGTCCCAGCAGTTGCATTGCTGAATGCAAATATATCAAGAGCGAATTATATATTTTGTGAGAAGATGGAAAATTAATCTTTGAAACATTCCACTTAAATTACACAGTCCCATTAGAGGAGAAAAGAAAGAAACTAAAAATGGCTGGCAGATGCTATTTACGTTTTCGTAAGGCTCGTATGCCAGCCCATTGCTGCTTGGATATATGTTGTGATTTATGTTCATTAATGCATAATCTATTTTACGTGATAATAAATTAGAAAATAAAAATGAGTTTAAAACTGACACAGCGGTGCTGTTGATTTCGACTAGGAAAAGAAAAAAAAAAAAAAAAAACTCAACTGGAATACTCAGAGTAGGTGGAAGGCTTTAAAATGCTGGGTTGAGCTATAACTAAACACACCTGGCAATATTACCTGAGAAGTGTTATTTAACAGATCATATCGTTAAAAATTGTCATGAAATGCAAGGACATGCCGGTAAGCTGAAACATTTAACTCAAGTTAGAGAGAAATTTTGATACTAAAAGGACAACTACATGTATATTAACAAGTATGTGATTTACTATGGATTTAGAACTAAGCCACTAATTCAAAATATCACTCCTTTACCAACCAAAACAATAATAGAGGCAAATCCCTTCAAAGTTGTTGAAATCGATTTTGCTGGTCCTCTGAGTCAAAGGATGAAAACTAGAAAGGCTTATATTGTTCTGTACATATGTGCTGTAACAAGAGCAGTGCATCTAGAACTAGTGTCTAGTCAAATAGCAAAAAAAAAAAAAAAAAAAAAAAAAAAAAAAAATCGTTCTTTCCTTTAGCAGATTTATTTCAAGAAGAGGAGCATGTTGAATGATATATTCAGACAATGCAAAAACCATTGAAAGGGCAGACAGAGTTATAAAAATTATGGAATACCATCACAGACATAGAAGTTTAAAGTTATTTTGGTAATAAAGGTATTGAGTGTAAATTCAACATGGAGAAGGCAAGGCTGTTTCTGGGAAAGGCTAGTTAGTTCTATCAAATCATGTTTGAAGAAAATACTTATGAAGGTGTCACTTAAATTTGAAGAGCTGGGAAGAGGTTTAATTGAAATTGAGGCAATATTAAATTTTTATCCACTGACTTATAGTGAAATTAGAGAACCAGAATCACTGACACCAGCTCATTTTCTAGTTGTATGAAGACTGACATCTTCGCCATCTGGCAAATATCTTGAACCAGATTTCAACTAAAGAAAATTTAAAGGCAATATGAATACCGAGTAACATTATTAGAATGTTTTTGGAAAAGATGGAAAAGGGAATGCTTACTTGAAATTAGAAACATAAAGCAAATTCAGAGAGGTAGTGCCGTTATACATCTTTTGAAGAGATCTGTAATTCTAGTACATGAAGAAAAACTATCATGATTATTATGGAAGATGGGAGTTGTACATGAGTGTAATCCAGGACGAGATAGAAAGATAAGGGCTTGCACTACCCGTTTGGCTAATGGAAATCATCTTCGTCACCTTTTGCAGTTTCTGTACTCCTTAGAAGTGACGTGAACTGAATACAGCCAATTTAAATAGTGAACACTAAGTCTATGAACATTCAAACGTTTAGAACATTAAAAACGTTCAGTGTTTAAGATTACTTCAGAGTCTAATCCTTTGATGAACCAAGAACTCATTGCACGAGAGGGTGCAGCTGTTTTATTTGATGTTTATTGTTTTTCTTACCACTTTGCAGATTTTTTGATTGAAATGTAGTGGTAATGACAGAAAAAATGAGTGTTCTAAGTGAAAAAATTTAAATAGCTGTAAATAAAATCTTCCATGTGATAAAATGGCAAAGAATTTCAAGTGTCTTGTAGATTTCTTAAGCAAAAACGTTTTCTTACCAAATATTTTTAGATGTTGAAGGTAAGTTTAAGAAAATACAATTTAGAAGCATAAACAAAATCTTATGATGAAAATTTAGAACTGAGGGATAGTGAAAACATACTTGATTTTCAAGTGTTAAAAGATAGGCAAATGAGATTATAAAAGAAATCAACAGTTACACAGAAAATATTCTAAGCTTGAAAGAAATATCTAGTAACTGCATTTGGTAAACGTGGCATCATATTGAAAAGGATGAATTTTAGGTTTTATCGTAGCGTTTATTGTCAAAATGGGTGCGATACTTCTGGCAAATATGTCACAATACTGTTTGTTTAAAGAGAGTAGTAGGATTCCTTTCTTTATCAATATATTTGCAAGGAAAATTTGCAACCAGATGTTCTGGATGATGTTTTTGAAAACACCTGATCCTGCAAGAACTGATATTAGAACTCACATATGCTGCACAATTTTTTGGAATTAAATTAAAGATTTCAGAAAATTTTATACTTGGGCAAAATATTTGCATTGACAAGCTCACTGTAAAATTTAACAGAAAAATATATTTTATTACATACAATCGCAATAAACTGACTAAGTAGGACATTCTTATATGTATTTTGGTAGATTTGGAAATGGGATATGTATATAGCATCTTTCCGTATTAAAGGAGCATCACTTCCAAAAATCTGCCAAGGCTAGATTTACTGGACAGCAACAGTATTACCTTGTATGTGTGCTAGCAACTGAATAGAGTATCTACCTCAAAAGCATATCACGTGCACACCAACAGGTGTTACGGTAGTATATCCTTAGCTGAAGAATTAAAACAAAATGAACTGCCACATGAATTGGAATGAAAAATGAAGTGCACTTATTAGTATTACTCTGAAAAATTTTAATAGCAATGGATATTAAAATAAATGTTTTAATATTCATTCTCACGTATATAAAATTATAAATACAAAGAAAATTTAGCTAAAAATTATTTTTTGTGATACAGTATGAAAAACCATTTTATTAGTCATGTATTAATTCAAAATTTTATATGAATATCAGATTTTGTGAAAATAATATAAATTGGTAAGGTTAGGTTAAAAGACATGGCTGCATTGTTTTTATACAATATGTATTTTTCATTATTGAACTGTTGCACCAATGAACAAATAAATATAAAGTGGCACTTTTTTTTAGAATACTTATGAAATCAATTATATTGTGCTTTCTTTTTTATTCAACATTTGTCAAGTATTGCAGTGAAAAATAATTTTTACTGAATATGAAGGTAAAACTTTTAATTTTTTAAAATTATAATATACATTGACTAATATTTAAGAAGGAAAATGCAGCTGCATTTCATACAAAATTAATAATATTGTAAAATTTGTTTATTAATACGTAAGTCAGTTCTGACTTGCTTCATATATATATAAATTTCTTTTACAGTACTTGAAGAACATTATTTATGAATACATGATGGGAAAGGAGCCAGTTGTAAGTGCATTTATTTTGATTACTTGAAAAGCACAATGTGTCATTTCTGCATTTTATATACAGCAGTTATTTTATGTATTTAAAAAATATGTATGTATATTTAAAATAAACATTATTTAGTTAATCTAAGTTATTATGGTATACCACCAATAAATATATATATGTATATTTAAAATAAACATTATTTAGTTAATCTAAGTTATGGTATACCACCAATAAATATTGTTGTTAATTCAATGATAAATAATAACATTAATTTTTCACTTGGGTGTTCCCCTTTTGTTTCATTTTAACTTTACTGCCTTATTCATATTCATTAAACACTTGCCATCCAGAACCAGAGTCTGGGATTAGAGTTGGAATTTAGTTCTTTTGAAAAATCAATGCATTTTAATTTTGTAAGTGTTAAATAATTTCAAATAAATTAGATGCATTTTAATCAATATAGTGATGCTGCTTTTTATTGCTATTCTTAAGTAATATAAAGTATTTATTTTGCTCACAGAGAATCTGTCATGTGAAATTTTTATACAATGGTTTCAATGAATAATTAACTTGTTTTGTTTTCTTTTAGTGACTTAAAAGTAAATACAGTATATAAATAAAAATAATATTGTTTATCAGAAATTTGGTTAAAAAAAATTGAAAGCTCGCAGATTTTTTATTATGCCCAAAGGGGTGTTTCCCCCCCCCATTTACACATACATAAATATTTCAAGAGCATTTTGACCAAAAATATTTTAAAACAGGATATCTTTAGAATTTCCGATAGATAGTCTTGCTCACTGGAGATAAAAGTATTTTATTCCATATAGTGTGTTGCCACTGCTTGCTTTGAAATCATTGAGTTTCTTAATCAAAAATGTGTTAAAGTTTAAAAAATATTAAATAGATAATAAAACAAATTAAAGAATCAGGCTTCCAGGTGCTGTAACAGATTTAAATAATATTAAAATCTTGTAGTTTAAATAATTTAAATAGATGAACATTAAGGTATTTGTGAATGGCAATATTTGAAACCAGACTCGAGTGCCACGTGCGACTCTCGCACGTAGAATGTAATTTATTTTTAAATGTTAGAATATGTTTTCTCTTGTTGTTTGTATGTCGCCATTTTTTTGAGTGTTAAATAAAAGTTATTGCTGTGTTCCATCATTGGAGTTGCTTCATGTCGCCAAAGAAGTATTACAGTCTTAATTATTTTGGAGGCACCGACCGAGATCAAATAATCGTGCGTATTTTATTTTATTAGTTCATCACTGAACATAATATT